TGTTTCATAACATTTTCTCACAAAATATGATGCATTTCGTAGCATTTTTGTTTTCCGCAACCATTTGTAAAGTGAAGTTGTCTTATATTATCCCGTAATCACCAGAGAACCTGCCACAAAGACATGATTCATGTCTTCCTCTGAGCCGATTATGACTATTTGTTTAATTCTCAGCCTATTTTCACATGTATGAATGAATCAAGACTTTAGTATAAGCCTAATCCTGATTTCCACTTTCCACTCCTTTGCAAATTGTAAGTTAATGAGTAAGTTTTGGAACACTTGACATTTGAAACTTTTGACATTTGACTGCTTTTATTTTGTTAAGTGCATTAAAGCTGATACATTTTTTGATAGAAAACTACAAAATTCTGAATTCTTATTTGGTGAAAAAACTATGTGATGGAAGGTTTTAATGGTATTTTTGAACATAGCACCATCAAATTAGATATTATTAGGCTTTTTCCGCTTTTTTCCCTCAAGATGCAGGGCTGTCTAATTATAATTGTCGAAAAATTGTGATGATAGAAAAATGCTAAATCTTAATGGTACTAAAAATAGGCTTCTTTTTCTTCAAATTAATATAATTCATTCCTATTTCTCTTTGATTTTGGGGTGAAATATGACCTGGACATGCTCTTGACAGATTTCATGAGATTCACCCATATATAATTTAAAACTCTCATAAAAACTGAGTTAGAGACCTAGAAAAACAGCACCTCTGTAATAATTTATAAATTTTCTCTTGAATTTTTTTTTTTTGTAATTCTCCTGGGCAATGTAGTACAGCTTTCCTGCTGAATGGACGGGACATTCAGACAAAAGGCAAAATGGCTACAGATGTCTGGACACAATATGTTCAGTGTGAGTATGTCTTGGCAGGGCATGAGCTCTCATCTGCCATATGTCGCATGAACACATGTCAGTATGCGCCGCAGGGCAGAGAGTGGGGCGATCTGTCGTCCTGTCATTCCTGCGAAAACACAAACTAACACAATTTCTGCCCCACTTTGCATAAAGAGTCTGTCAACTTGAGAGGTTACTGGGCTCTTTTTCTCAAGTGATAAATCCGAGAAGCAAAAAAGCTTAAAAAAGCTCTGAAGTTGCTTTCCTTTTTTTTTTTTTTTTTTTTTTTTTTTATCTTTAAAAAATATATATGCTGATTTACAAAAAAGGCCTAATATTATGTAATTTGATAATGCTGATAATGCTAAAACTTTCCATTACGTACAGTTTTTTCCACAAAATAAGAAAGCAAATGCATCATATTTTGTGAGAAAGTGTGACACGCTCGAGCAAAACAGGCACTATTTTTGAAATCAGCACCTCTAAAATGAGCAAGAAACTAATATAATTTCTCAAATATGATGCAGGGCAGTGTATTAAAAGAGTTCATATTTGTGTTTTTTTATGTGCCAAACCAAATTTTCAGAGCTTTATTATCCACATTATTTTTTAATCTCTCAATTGTAAACAAAACCAGACTAACTTCACAGACAGCTGCATGGTTCTCCTCGTCTTGAGCCTCGATGAGCTCAGACAGGAAGTACGGCCCGTGGGACTCCACCAGTGGCGTGATCTGCTCTGCAAATATGTGCATGAGGTCATCGTGATCTTCCACTCTGGGGAATATAAAGTTATTGCGCCAGGATTTTAATACATCACTGTGCTGCAAATGCCCTGTATAAACTGTATATTGATATAAATTGTGTACAGCAGGACAAAACAGTCTAGACATGGATTATGATCGGCTTTACACTAGACGAAACAACACACACGACTGTCTGAATTTGATTGACACAAATGAGTGAATTTCACAGAAACATGGCTATGTCACTTTTCACCCAAAATACAAGAGAAAAATAAGAAATTATATTTTGCATAGAGAAAATATAACCTATTTTAGACTTATTTTTTATTCAAATTAAGCATATTTCCTGCCCATTACAGTAATGTTTATAGATTTTTTTTTAGTTCTTTGATATTTTCATTCTTCTCATTGATGAGTCTCATTAACTGTATTATCATTATTGCAAGACAAGTATAAACAGTAAAAATTAAAAATTTTACATTTTAATAATTTAAAGGTAGTACAACTAATAATACCATAATATAAGAATACTTTACAAATTAAATTATATGTATTATATATATATATGTATACATATATATTTTTTTCTATTACTCATACAGTATTTGAATGACTTACTTTAAGGCTTTGAAACATTTTAATTGTTTCAATGTTGAATCTGAATAAATGACTTCTATATTAAAATAATTACAGTCGAATTGTTCTAATGAATAAATACAGTAATAATTGAAAAATATAATACAATATATAACAAAATATAATTGCATAAATGTATTTTATTTTAGCATTACAGTAATGTATTGCAAATGTAACTTTGGAAAATGTGCTTAATTCTCCTGAACATAATGCCACAATACAGTGAAATATGACCCAGCCACGCACTTGTCGGTTTTCATGAGACTCACCCATCCATAAGTAAACGAGAGGTTTACAAACCTGGCACTGCGGATGCGAAGTCGAGGGCAGTAATTGTGTCGCTGACAAACGTAGGCCGAATACTGAACCTCCTCCTTAACAGGCATCACAGGTTCAAAGATCTTCTCCAGTGCTGCCTCTGATATGAAGAGAATGACAGAATAATATTACCGTCAATGCCAGCACACAAAAAAGTTTGAAGTAATATTATACTCATTTATTTCCTACCAAGTGAGCCTCTGTAGGGAGTCAGGAGGCAGATGTATTCCAGCTCCACAACGGCATTGAAAACTGTTCTAGAATTTACATAGGAAGGAAACAAAAATCTTTGATTATTAAATTTGATTGAATGGATACAGGAAGGCATTGCTATACAGTCAATACAATTTGTGCTGCCTAAAACAAGATCCATATCCACCCTAACCAAATAACAACAGAAAAATCTTGTTTTATTACATTAGATATAAACCAATGAGCAGACTGTGTGTATTCTTCAGCCTTATAGGTGAACCTCACAAAACCTGTCAAGAACATGTACAGGTCACATTTGTGACCCTGGAGCACAAAACCAGTCTTAAGTCGCTGGGGTATATTTGTAGCAATAGCCAACAATACCTTGTGAGGGTCAAAATTATAGATTTTTCTTTTATGCCAAAAATCATTAGGATATTAAGTAAAGATCATGTTCCATAAAGATATTTAGTAAATTTCCTACTGTAAATATATTAAAACTTAATTTTTGATTAGTAATATGCATTGCTAAGAACTTCAACGTTAAAGGCGAGTTTCTCAATATTTAGATTTTTTTGTACCCTCAGATTCCAGATTTTCAAATAATCGTATCTCGGCCAAACATTGCCCTATCCTAACAAACCATACATCAATGGAAAGCTTATTTATTCAGATTTCAGATGGTGTATAAATCTCAATTTCGAAAAAAATTGACCCTTATGACTGGTTTTGTGGTCCACCTCAAAACCAAAAAAAATAAATTGTTTCTCAATATTTTGATTTTTTTGTACCCTCAGATTCCAGATTTTCAAATAATCGTATCTCGGCCAAACATTGCCCTATCCTAACAAACCATACATCAATGGAAAGCTTATTTATTCAGATTTCAGATGGTGTATAAATCTCAATTTCGAAAAAAATTGACCCTTATGACTGGTTTTGTGGTCCACCTCAAAACCAAAAAAAATAAATTTTTTGTGAGATTCACCGTTAAATGTTCACATCGATAAAAGACAATACAAAGCAGTCTTCTTTTACCTCATTATCTCTTTAGCGCCCCCTATGGAGAAGCCAGGCTGAGCCACAAATAAATGCAGGAAAAGAGTGTTCATGGGCTGGAGGAAAGACAAAATGGGCTGTAAAATGGATATGTTAAATATTAATGGACATCGCGGTTTATTTGCTTTGCCTACAGTGAATTTCAAGCCATTGGCGTGATTCTGAAGTAAATTCTTCCAGCATGCCTGATCCACCAGCTCTTCAGTGGGGTGGTCTGAGAAAGATGCATGGGCCAAAACTTCATTCGTAGCGGTGCTCAGGGACACGGCTAAATTTGCTTTCTCACTGCAATGAGAAATAGAAAAAAAATCATTCCATTCAATCAAACAAGTCTAAGCTATGAGCTATTTCTGATTATACTACATTATAATGATTATACTAATTATAATAACATGTTCCTGTGGCTCAGTGGTAGAGCAATGCGTTAGCAGCGCAAAAGGTCATGGGTTCGATTCCCAGGGAACACGCATACTGGTAAAAAATGTATAGCCTGAATGCACTGGAAGTCAGCGTCTGCTAAATGCATAAATTATTATTAATTAAATTATTATAATGAAAGTAAATTAAAGTACACTCTCAGAAAAAAAGTAAAAAAGCTGTCACTGCTGCGCCACCTTTTCAAAAGGTACACTTCTGTACACTCTAAAAAATGCTGGGTTAAATATAACCCAGCGCTGGGTTAAAAAGGGACAAACCTAAATTTGCTTTCTCACTGCAATGAGAAATAGAAAAAAAATCATTATAATGATTACATTATAATGATTATACTAATTATAGAGCAATGCGTTAGCAGCGCAAAAGGTCATGGGTTCGATTCCCAGGGAACACGCATACTGGTAAAAAATGTATAGCCTGAATGCACTGGAAGTCAGCGTCTGCTAAATGCATAAATTATTATTAATTAAATTATTATAATGAAAGTAAATTAAAGTACACTCTCAGAAAAAAAGTAAAAAAGCTGTCACTGCTGCGCCACCTTTTCAAAAGGTACACTTCTGTACACTCTAAAAAATGCTGGGTTAATTAAGAGAAAATACAATATAAAAGCACTATAATATACAGACCTTTCGTGTGAGAATACTCAAACCCTGTTTTTAGCAAGAAGTATGTTTCACATAAACGTTCATCTGGCGTTACCGCTAACCGTTAGCGAGCGTCCTGTAACCATGGTGACGGGGCTTCGTGACGTCGTTGCAGTCAAAGGTTACCGCGCGTCACGGCAAACGCGACGCGCGACACAAGGCATTGAAACGTCGCTAAAGTTTTAGCGGCTTATCGAAGTTTAAAAACGTTAAGAAATACGCACAGTTGCCTTATAATAAAGTGACAGGAGCGTAATAATCATGGCGTCCACCGCGGCGGGTAAACAGAGAATCCCGAAAGTGGCAAAGGTAAAAAAATAAATAATGTTTAGCGAGTTAGCATTAGCATGTTAACTACGTGAAGCGGTCGTGTTTCACTGTAAACACCTATTGTATAGTATTTCTAGATGTATGTTTGTATTTATTTTGTGTTGCGTGTTCAGGTGAAGAACAAAGCCCCAGCAGAGGTGCAGATCACCGCAGAGCAGCTGCTTAGAGAGGCAAAGGAGAGAGAGCTAGAGCTGCTGCCTCCTCCACCCAAACAGAAGATCACTGATGCAGAAGAGCTCAACGACTATAAACTGAAGAAGAGGAAGGTACGATGGCATAATGGTATCAAATGGTAGCGCCATGGTACTTTGATGCATACCATAGATAGTACTTTGTGGTTACTATATGCATGTACCGTGGTTTTTCCATAATGTCTAGCAAACACGACGTTACCAATGTACATGTACAGAAAACATGGTACTGTCAAGTCACATATTTATTTATATAATGCTTTATTTATACAATACAGCAGCTTCTCATTAATAAACTGGAAAGTGTCAGTCAGTTATGAAACAACTTCAAAAGACAATAGTGTCATTATTCAGCTCAGTTTAGTTCTGTGTTGATTGAATTCAGATCAATATCAGTGTCAGTGTTGCAAAAGGGTCATGCGTTATGAAACAAATGCAAGTTTATCAAGATATGTGCCATAAAAATGCTGCGTGTATATATACATGGTTCATGCTTTAAAAACATGTCAATACCATGGTACATCTCCAGAAAACTTAGTATTAACATAGTGTTGAGACATTAACATGTCCAAAAAACATGGTATTACCATAGCGTATGTCCATTAAACATGGCATTGTCATGCTATATGCCTCAAAAGACGTGGTATTAACATAGTAAAAGACCATAAAGCATGATACTGTCGTGGTTCGTGCCCCCAAAAGCATAGTATTACAAATAGACATGCCATAAAGCATGGTGTTGTCCTGGAACAGGCTGAAAATATTATGACATTACCATAGTGCATGTCCAGAAAACATAGTGTTGTTGTATGTTGCCCAAAAATATAGTATTACGGTGCCATAAAACATGGTATTACCATGGTATATGCTATAAAAACATTTTGTTACCATAGGTAAAACATGGTGTATTACCATAATACATGTCCAGTAAACATGGTATTACTATTGTCATGTTATGTGCCACAAAATCATAGTAGTATTACCAAGGCACATGTCATAAAATATTGTATTGCCGTAGTGCATGCTTTAAATATATTGCATTACCATGGTACATCTTCAGAAAACATGGAATTACCATAGTGCTTGTCCAGAAAACATTGCATTGTCATGGTATCTGCCCCAAAGACATAGTATTACCAATGTATATGCTTTAAAACACAACACTACCATGGTGCAACTCCAGAAAACATGGTATTATCATATAGAAAAACATGAATTTGCCATGATCCATGCTCTAAAAATGGAATTGCTACGGTACGTATCTAAACACATCCAACTTTTTTCTCTCAATACAGGGGTTTGAAGACAACATCAGGAAGAACAGAACTGTCATCAGCAACTGGATCAAGTACGCACAATGGGAGGAGAGCCTGAAGGAAGTCCAGAGGTGAGTTTCAGTTCGGTGTCCAATGACGGAATCATAGAGTGGAGGTGATTTCTGTAACTGTTTTTATTGCCTTCAGAGCTCGCTCTATATACGAGCGTGCGCTCGACGTGGATCACCGCAACATCACGCTGTGGCTGAAGTATGCAGAGATGGAGATGAAGAACCGGCAGGTGAATCACGCTCGCAACATCTGGGACCGGGCCATCACCATCCTTCCCCGTGTCAATCAGTTCTGGTATGCTTCCTCCTCATGATCATACAGACATTCAGACAAAGATACTATGTGATTTTGTCTCCCGATTCATTCTTTGATTCATGCGTTTATGCACCAGGTACAAGTACACCTATATGGAGGAGATGCTGGGGAACATTGCTGGCTGCAGGCAGGTGTTTGAGCGCTGGATGGAGTGGGAGCCAGAGGAACAGGCCTGGCATTCGTACATCAACTTTGAGCTGCGCTATAAGGAAGTGGACAAGTCCCGCAGCATCTATGAGAACTATATCCTTTCATAAATAGCCTGTTTCATCAGCAGTATCTGGATACATACAGTAGTACACTCATATAAAGCGATGTATACTATATAGCAAATCTCAACTGCCTTATTCATTTCATTGCAAAATGAAACTGTTATCACCTAACTCTTTATATAAAGTTAGATATATAAGTATATCCAACTTCAACTGCGAATATACAGTATACTATTTGCATAGGGCGATACACACTATGGTAAATCTCACCTGCTTGATTACTTGTATTGTGGCAAAATATAACTATATTGTCGCCCGGCTTTAATTTGCTAAATACATAAAGCATGAAAATATTATAAACATTAACAACATGAATCTCTGTAAAGCTGATTTGAAATAATGCGTATTGTGAAAAGTGGCATACAAATATATTTGACTTGAAATGCATAAAATATATAAATAAGGTTTATTATTTTATATTACACTACCAGTCAAAAGTTTTTAAAGGTTTTTTAAAGAAGTCTCTTCTGCTTACCAAGCCTGCATTTATTTGATCCAAAGTACAGCAAAAACAGTACAATTTTGAAATATTTTTACTATTTAAAATAACTGTTTGCTATTTGAATATATTTTAAAATGTAATTTATTCCTGTGATCAAAGCTGAATTTTCAGCATCATTACTCCAGTCTTCAGTGTCACATGATCCTTCAGAAATCATTCTAACATTTGCTGCTCAAAAAACATTTATTATTATTATTATGATGTTGAAAACAGCTGAGTAGAATTTTTCAGGTTTCTTTGATGAATAGAAAGTTCAGAATAACAGCATTTATCTGAAATAAAAATCTTTGTAGCATTATAAATGTCTTTATAATCACTTTTGATGAATTTAAAGCATCCTTGCTAAATAAAAGTATTAAATTCTATAATCCCACCTCCCAAAAAAATTATGCTGACTCCAAGCTTTTGAATGGTATAGTGTATAATGTTACAAAAGCTTTTTATTTCAGATAAATGCGGATCTTTTGATCTTTCTATTCATCAAAGAATCCTGAAAAAAATGTACTCAACTGTTTTAAATATTGGTGGTGATAATAATAATAATAATAAGAAGAAATGTTTCTTGAGCAGCAAATTTATTAGAGTTTATTAGAGTGATTTCTGAAGATCATGTGACACTGAAGACTGGAGTAATGATGCTGAAAATTCAGCTTTGATCACAGGAATAAATTACATTTTAAAATATATTCAAATAGAAAACAGTTATTTTAAATAGTAAAAATAAAATTCACAATATTACTGCTTTTGTTGTCTTTTGGATCAAATAAAGGTAGTGTATATTATTCTTATTTTAGAATGAATGGCTGTTATGTAAAAAAATATAGTTATCCTTAATGGCAAAGCACTCGTGATGGTCCATCCCGAAGTGAAGAACTGGATCAAGTACGCTCACTTCGAAGAGAAGCACGGCTACATCGCTCGGGCGAGGAAGGTGTTCGAGAGAGCTGTAGAGTTTTTTGGTGAGGAGTATATCAGCGAGAACCTCTCCGTGGCTTTTGCCAGATTCGAGGAGAAGCAGAAAGAGGTAAGACTTCCTGCGTTCATGTCCCTTCTGCTGTTTCCTGTTCAGACCTGACCGTTCGCTTTTTGTCTTTTAGTTTGAGAGAGTTCGTGTCATCTATAAATACGCTTTGGACAGAATCCCCAAGCAACAGGCCCAGGAGCTGTTTAAGAACTACACCGTGTTTGAGAAGCGGTTTGGAGACAGGAGAGGAATCGAGGATGTGATCGTCAGCAAAAGGAGGTTTCAGTATGAAGAGGAAGTCAAGGTGAGTAAAACACACTTGTATGTATGTTAATATTATCTCTGTGTGTGTGTGTGTGTATATAAATTCAAAAATAAATTGTTTTTATATATATTATATAGATAATGTTCATTTCATTCTGCCTAGTACAGTATTTTTATGAATGCTTTGTAAATATTTTAATAAATGATGTTTATTAATTTATGTATGTTTGTTAACCTTACACTATTAGTAACAACAAAATAAACAATTACATTTTAATTATTTAAATGACCATTAATCCTTACTCAAAATTTCATAATACTTACTCTTAGTTCTGATTAAAAAACATCCTTTTGGTATTTGTTAAAGCAAGTTGTAGTTTTAGCCTTTTGCAAAGCATCCGTATCTTACTTAATGACTCTGCTTTAAAATGTACTTAATTTTCTGCTGTATAGGCAAGCCCACACAATTATGATGCATGGTTTGATTACCTGCGGCTGGTGGAGAGTGACACCGATGCAGACACGGTTAGAGAAGTGTACGAGAGAGCCATAGCCAACATACCCCCCATCCAAGAAAAGAGACACTGGAGACGCTACATCTACCTGTGGATTGACTACGCTCTCTATGAGGAGCTGGAGGTCAAGGTATGATAGATGTCGGTGAGCTGAAGTATTCAGCATTCATTTGCATGTACACATTTAGTATTAGAGTTTGATGTTATATTGTTTTTTTCTGATTTGTTTAGGACCCTGAGAGAACGAGGCAGGTGTATCAAGCGTGTCTGGAGCTTATACCACACAAAAAGGTAAAACTGTCCTTCTTAATGGTGGTTAAAAACACTATTTACACAACCTCATGTCAGTTTTTAGTGAGCCAGTCCTTAAAATGTTAATTCTGCCCCCTTTTTGCAACAGCTGAAAAAAAAAAAAAAGTGCTTGACACTGTATTTTAATCTGTGAAATCCTATATAGGTACCATTTCTAAGTCAAATTTTTATGAATTGTTTTCTAACTATAGCCTATATATTTTTTTATACTCAGTTTACATTTGCCAAGATTTGGCTCTTATACGGACAATTTGAAATCCGACAAAAAAACCTCCAGAATGCTAGACGAGGCCTGGTAAGTGTTTCACTCTGAAACAGATTTATATACTTTTAGACTACTGTTCAAAAGTTTGGGATCAGTATTACATTTGAAAACATTTATTCAAAAAGGATGCATTAAATTGATCAAAAGTGACAGTAAAGACATTTATAATGTTGCAAAAGATTTCTATTTCAAATTAATGCTGTTCTATTTATCAAAGATTCTTGGAAAAAAAATCACTGTTTCCACAGAATATGAAGCAGCACAACTGTTGTCAACACTGTGATAAAGCAGCAAATCAGAATATTAGAATGATTTCTGAAAGATCATGTGACACTGAAGACTGGATAATGATGCTGAAAATTCAGCTTTGATCACAGGAATACATTTTAAAATATATTTACAGAAAACAGTTATTTTAAATACAAATCATTTTTTATTAATTTTTTTATTAAATAAATGCAGCCTTGGGAGTATAGGAGATTTCTTTAATTTCTTTTAAAAAATGACCCCACACTTTTGAATGGTAGTGTACTTCCTACACATTGACCTCTAACCTCTCGCCTGTCAGGGCACAGCCATCGGAAAGTGTCCCAAAAACAAACTGTTTAAAGGCTACATCGAGCTGGAGCTACAGCTGAGGGAGTTTGACCGCTGCAGGAAGCTCTACGAGAAGTATCTGGAGTTCAGTCCAGAAAACTGCACCACCTGGATCAAGTTTGCCGAGCTGGAGGCCATCCTGGGAGACACAGACCGGGCCAGAGCCATATTTGAACTGGCCATTGGACAACCACGACTCGACATGCCAGAGGTCAGAACTTCACATTTCTCTCTCTTTACAGTTATTGATTTCTTCCAAGTTTTTTTCCTCCATATTCTCACTATATCATACTATATGAGCCATGAAAGCCTGATGTTTCAAATATGATACTTAAAGGGTTAGTTCACCCAAAAATGAAAATGAGCTCATAAATTACTCACCCTCAAGTCATTCTAGGTGTATATGACTTTCTACTTTCAGACGAATCCAGTCGGAGTTATATTAAAAATTGTCTTTGATCTTTCAAGCTGTTTCATGGCACTCAGCGGGTGTTGCATGCATCAGTCCAAAAGCACTTAATTAAAATGCGCCCATCCATAAAAAAAAAGGGTCTCACACGGCTCTGGGGGGTGAACAAAGGCCTTCTGTAGCGAATCAATGCGTTTTTGTAAGAGAAATATCCATACGTCATCCACCCGGAGCTGCTTCCAGTGTACAACAGTGAGTGCAAGCTAGATTAAAGTGATTATTACGTTTTGAATATGGATATTTTTCTTACAAAAACGCATCGATTCGCTACTGAAGGCCTTTGTTCACCCCCCGGAGCCGTGTGAGACACTTTTTTTTTTAAATGGATGGGCGCATTTTATTTAACTGCTTTTGGACTGCTGCATGCAACACCCGCTGAGTGCCATGAAACAGCTTGAAAGATCAAAGACAATTTTTTATATAACTCTGACTGGATTCGTCTGAAAGAAGAAAGTCTTATACACCTAGGATGACTTGAGGGTGAGTCATTTATGGGCTAATTTTCATTTTTGGGTGAACTAACCCTTTAACAAAAAGCACTTGTTAACTTTTAAAGTTTTTTAAAAATTATTTTCTCTTAAGGTTCAATAAACCTTAATTTCATTTTGAAAAACATGTTAGACTGTTGTTTCATGCCAAGCTTTACAGGGTTAAAACAAGTCATTCTTAACTGTTTCTCCATTGTATTGTTTACATCAGGTGCTGTGGAAGTCATACATCGACTTTGAGATCGAGCAAGAAGAATACGACAACACACGAGGACTTTATAAGAGACTGTTACAGCGTACTCAACATGTCAAAGTAAGCCACCAGAATGACGGCAACATAACATGCTCATCCTAAATGAATATCTGATGCATTTGTTTCCATTCTGGTTGTATTGTAGGTCTGGATCAGCTATGGCCAGTTTGAGCTGTCCATCGACAGTGACGACCGCATACAGCGATGCAGACAGATCTACGAGGAGGCCAATAAGAGTATGCAGAGCTGTGAGGAGAAGGAGGAACGTCTGATGCTCCTGGAGTCCTGGAGAGACTTTGAGGACGAGTTCGGATCATTCGCCAACAAGGAGAGAGTCCAGAAACTCCTGCCGGAGAAGGTGAAGAAGAGGAGGAAGATCACAGCAGAAGACGGGGTGAGAGTTTATGCCGCCTTCTGTCCTGTTTGTTGGATTGTTCTGAGATTGTGGGTGTAGGTTTCTTTCTTACATTGAGTCATCATAAATTTTGAAAATCAATTTAAATTACTTGCATGCACACATTTTTGAAGTGACGCTTGTTTTCTTTATGCAACAATTAGAAATCCTGACGATGCATGTGCGCTAATCTTGAAACGTGAAGATTTGAAATGTAAATTGTTTCAGTCAAGAATTTATTTAAAATTCTAAAAATTAAATGAATCGCGAGTCTGTAAAGTATCATTGAGCATTTAAAAAAATATAACTATTTAATTACTTGAATGTGCAAATTATTGGAGACATAGAGACTCTGGTTTTCTCACTATATCAATTAGAAATTCTGCCCGATGCATCAGCCTTGAAATAAATTTTTGGATCGTAAAATGTTTGTTCCGGTCAAGAATCAATATGAAATTCTAAAAAGTCTCATTCAATATTTTTCAATTATTTAAAATACAAAAAAATTGAATTATATTACTTGTATGCACACACAAACTATTTATAAAGCTGCCGACACATTTAAAATTATTTTCAAACAAGACTTGGAAGTCTTGGAAATAAATACATTAAAAAAAATTGTCTTAAGCAGTTTGTCTTTTTCCTTTTCTTACCTAAGACAGGAGAAGCATTTACATAATCCTATTAATGTACTTAAAAATACAAAATCGTTAATTGAATTCTAATTGAGTCTTGATGAAAATCGAATACTTTTGAATTGGGAAAAAATCTTTCCTGAATCAAAAACCTATGAATCATTAATTGAATTGAAGTTTCACACCTCTATCAACTAGTCATCCCGAACACATTGTCTTTTGTTTATCAGTCGGATGCAGGTTGGGAAGAATATTATGACTACATCTTCCCCGAGGACGCTGCCAACCAGCCCAACCTCAAACTGCTGGCCATGGCCAAGATGTGGAAGAAACAGCAGCATGAGGATGAGGAAGAGGAAGATCAGGAGGAAGAAGAAGAAGAAGAAGAAGAAGGACAGCAGGTTCCTCAAGGGAAGGAAGCACAGGAGAGCCCAGAACCAGAGGAGCAGGGACCTGCAGCCCAAAGAGAACGGCCTGAAAACAAGTACGACAACGACGATCGCGACGATGACGAAGAGAGCAGCAGTAGTAGTGACAGCGAGAGTGATGGTGGTGACCATCAAGATGACAAGACGGAACAAACAAAAGCGGCCACAGAAAATCACTGACCTGGTGTGGTGGAACTTAACACGTTATTTGTCTCCGTTTCGTTCTTTCTGTCTGTCTCTTTTCTTTTGTAACAATATAAAGGTGTGACCCAAATGTGCCAATCACTTACTGTTATTCAATATGGCAGCCCCCAAACCGATCGTCGCTTACATTGTAGTGGAAGAATCAGAGGGAATCATATTGCAAACGTTTGCACAGTTGTCATGTTATTAATGATGATTGAGCAAACAGAGAGTTTTCTGATTCTGATGTCTTATTTTGACAGCCTTTGCAATATTACAGGCAAAACTACCAGAGAACTATCAGAGGCAAAAATATTACAGCAGAAACGGTCTATGACCCTGACTTTTTTTGTACGCTAATCAGTTATCAACCTGCACATGTGTTTTATATTTTATTTTAAAAGACAAATACAACAAGTGTTTGCTTTAGCCTTTTTATTTCATGTAACTACAGTCCCAAAGTCCTTTAGTTTCAGCTTTATTAACCCAATTCTTCAAAGCAGTGGCTCTCTGACATTTCAAATCAATTTTGTGATCAAAAAAAGCCAATGTCTGTTTTCCCAGTTGGATGTTGAGGATTTCAGAGAGCCACATGTTAGTGTTATTCAATATCTTCTGGCCGGACTGGATGCGGAAGCGGGATTATGGATTTCTTCTCTGCGTCTCTGGATAAAGCTTTCCTCATATCTGTCAAATGAAAGAACAGTAAAATAAGATTTGTGAGATTTTCTGAAGAACTGAGTTTAGCTTGCAAAAGTATTTAGCGTGATTCTTGGTTTTACTGCACTGGTAATGTTGCAATTTAAGTCTCTTTTATTTGTCCTTATTGTTTGCAGGTGAAAAATGTAAGTCTGATTGCATGGTAACATTAACAAGCAGCATAAATGTTGCAGGAGGCCAGGTAATACATTCCTTTCAAATAAAAAATTGTACTGACCCCAAACTTTTGAACAGTAGTTTAATGATCACACAAGTGAAAAAACCTACCATAAGCATCTTCGTCAGGTTCACCGTTACTGGCCGAGTAATACTCTATAACGGTTCTGTACACGCTGTAGCCGAGCTGTTTGTACATTTTCACAGCAACTTGATTAGAAACTCGCACAAAGAGATCCACAAAGAATCCGCCCTTCCTAAAAAAACGAGAAACAGAAGAACTAATTTCGAGTCCGGATACACAGATACTGTGCAAATACCAATATTTAATGTCATGTTATGGCTGATGACCAATATAATTTCAGTTTATACTGTTCTGCCTGCTTTTATTTTCACATGCATTTATTTATTTTATTTAATATATGATGCGATTTAAAAGAATCCGCCCTTCCTAAAAAAACGAGAAACAGAAGAACTAATTTCGAGTCCGGATACACAGATACTGTGCAAATACCAATATTTAATGTCATGTTATGGCTGATGACCAATATAATTTCAGTTTATACTGTTCTGCCTGCTTTTATTTTCACATGCATTTATTTATTTTATTTAATATATGATGCGATTTCAATTTTTCCTTTGTCTTTGGAGTGTTACAAGCTCTTGGTGCATAAAGAAGATCTGTAAAGTTGCAAAGACTAAAGTCTCAAATCCAAAGAGATATTCTTTATAAAAGTTAAGAGTCAGCCACACCTACCTAAAACGGCTCGTTCTAACACGCCCCCACATGTCTACATCACTATGTGGGAAGATTTGCATAACGCCGCCCAAATGTTCACGCAAAGAAAGAAGGTGCAACTTTTATTCTTGCTGTAGTATTGTTGCTGCCGCCATGTCGTGAAGGCGCTGTGTGTTTCGTTGTGAAAGCAAAACTACTTTGTTTGGTCTTCCAAAAGAGGACGATATCTGCTTCGTCATGCCTAGAGCTGATCTGTGCTGGTCGCTGAGGAAATACTACAACTTTGCGCTGT